GAACACTGACCTCAGACAGACCTGCAGGGATCCAAATCTTGACTCTGCTACGTCCCAGCTCCCTAAGATTTCCTCAGAGGGTTTGGATGAAAGATGATTAGAGGATGTACATGGGGGATTTCAAAGAACATCATGCACAAGGTGTGGTGGCGACACCTTTAATCCCAGCAGTCTGGAGGCAGAGGCAGGCAGATTTCTGAGTTCAAGGCCAGCCTGGTCCACAGAGAGAATGCCAGGACAGTCAGGGTCATCCAAAGAAACCCTGTCTCAAAAACAAAACAAAATTTTTAAAAAGGGGGGAAGAAGGAAGAAAGGAAGGAAGGAAAGAAGGGAGGGAGGGAAGGAGGACATAATGCCAAGTTAACAAAGGTATTAAAGAGCTGCAGAGCTGGTGAGAAGGATCAGCAGGTGAAAGCATTTGCCGTGTGAGCCAGCTGATCCGAGACGCACGAGGAAAGCCAGATGCAGTGGCGTGCATCTGAACTCCAGCATTCCTACAGGGCAGTCAAGACAGAAAGGAAAGTCAGAGGCTAGCCTGGAGAACAAGGTACAGCTCAGGAATGAGAAAGGCTTTGCTTCAACAAGATGGACAGTGAGAACCAGCTCCCCAAAGTTGTCCTCTGAGCTCTACACTCGCATTCCTCCCAATAAATAAATACTTTATTTATTTAAAAAGATGGCGGCGTACTGGGTCCGGAAAGATGGCTCAGTAGTTCAGAGCATTTGATACCTTTCCAGAGGACTCAGGTTCATTTCCCAGCACCTGCATGGTGATTCACAAACATTTGTAACTCCAGTTCCAGGGGATCTGATGCCCCCTTCTGGCTTCTGAGGATACCAGGCATGCATTTAGTACATAGACATACATGAAGGTGAACACTCATATTATAAAAAATAAACTTTTTAAGAGGCTACAATAAGCCGGGCGGTGGTGGCGCATGCCTTTAATCCCAGCACTTGGGAGGCAGAGGCAGGGGATCTCTGTGAGTTTGAGACCAAGCGAGTTCCAGGACAGGCTCCAAAACAATAAAACCCTGTCTGGGGGGGGGGGGGACGGACACGGGACCAAACAAACAAACAAAAAAGGCCAGGATGTAAGTACATGCCTATAATCCCAGTTACTCCGTATGTGGAGGCAGGAGGGTTGTTGAGACCAGGAATTCAAGGCCACCTGGGTAACAGTCCTGGTGATGAATGCCTGCAACCCCAGCATTTACAAGGTAGAGGCAGGAGGATCAGGAGCTCCAGGTCATCCTCAGCTTCTAATGCTAGCCAGGACCACATGACTCTGTCTCAGCTGTAGGGAACAGCCTGAGGGTGCAGCTCAGTAGGTGGAAGGGTGCCTCCTCCTATGCACAACTTTCATTTTGGTCCTGATGACTGGAGGAAGGAGAAGAGGCCTGTTTGCCAAAGCTTGACGCTGGGCCGTTTCTCATAGGATTCCCTTGACCTTGGTTAGTAAACTACTGTGTTAAGTGTTTGACAGACTAGGCCTAAATTGGTTTCCGATGGAGGGAAGTCTTCCAGAAGATTCCTTCACCCAACAAGAAGTGAAGAAGCAGCAAGGCTTCATTGCAACCTGAGGTCACCCAGCAAAGGCGTTGTGGGCAGGCTCAAGTCAGAGGGTCACCTGTAACACAGGAAATAAAAGACCCAGAGACAGACATTGGGCTTCAAGCTTCAAGTTGAAGATCAGAAATGCAAAGCAGCCAAGCCACTAGATCTTACCTCTACCCAGTTGGAATGACTGATCCTGTCTCCAGGATTCCTCAGAGGCAAAAGACTCTCAAATCCTGTCTCCTCCTCCTTACATTCCTCTCTCCACCCAACCACATCACTCCTGTCTCCACTTCCCTAGTGCTGGGATTAAAGACATGTGATCCTGGGTGCTGAGATCACCTTTGTGTGAACTGTCTCTTTTAAGACTGGATCAATTTGTGTAGTCAGTGTGGCCTTGAACTAACAGAGATCCGTCTACGGTTCAATCCTGAGCTCTGGGATTAAAGGTGTGGACCACCACTCCCTGGCTTCTATAGCTAACTAGTGTGACTGCTTTGCTATTTTGATCTCCAGTGGCTCTAATAAATCATAAACCATCTATCACCACAGTCACCCAGCAAAGGCATGCAAGGTGGGCTCGAGTCAGATCCCTGGCTCCACACAAACTTTACCGTTGCTCATTCGTTCCCCTGTGACTGTCTTCAGCTTGCTCTGTCACATCAGAGGTGCCCCACAGAGTGAGGTATGGGCTCGGGGACTGTGTCTTTGCATCTCACGGTGGCACTAAACCCTGAGGAAGGAAGGAAGTCGTCATGTGAGGTCTCTAGCTACACTTCGAGGAGGGGAAGTGATCACCGAGGCTGGATCTGGGTCCTGAGAGGCCTCTGCTAGTTGATGGAAAGTGGCACAGTCCCGCTGACTCATGCTGGCAGGTCAATCAGAAGGGCCCCCTTTAGGTCTGTTTTTACCCCAGCTTTTGATTCAGGGCTCCCAGTACCCTCCTCTCTTTGTCTCATCTATAGTCTAGCTAGTCTGTGGCCAGGATCAAGGATGCTGCAGTACACACTCATGTATTCCTGGCTGAGCGAGCAAGATCCTCCATTGGAGAAGGTCACAGAGCTCAACCCCTCTTTGATCTGTGTGTTAAGCCTTTTTGGAATGAATGAATTCGTTTGCCATGTCCAGTGAGGTGTTACAGCAGTGAGTCAGACAAAGTCCTTAGTCTCTGAAGCTTTCCCATTGTGGTGGGATGAAGGATCTTTTATCTCTGAACTTCCCACTTTATATACTTGATTCCCTGCTAAACCTTGCAGTTTTGGGAGAACAGGAGGAGAAGACTATGAGGCAGGCAGGGATCTTTATTGCATCCTCAGTGCCTACACATGATAGGAGCTGGACATGTGTTTGTTGAACTGGACTGAATAGTCACCTTGGCAGGCTCTCGCGGGCTGGGTGGGGTGGGAAATTCACCACCTTCCCCTTTACCCATCTGGCTGTCAGACACCATCTCCTTCATGGGACCTTCTCACCTGGACTACATAGCCAGAAACTGTTATTACTTCTTGTTCTAATTGCCTTACATGCCAAGCAAATGACTCTTGCCTTTTGAAATGTATGTTCTAGTGGGGCCGCACCATCTCTCACCATCAAGTGCAATGTTGACATTCAGCTTCATAATTAACTTCTGGTTTTGTTGTTGTTTGGAGACAAAGACTTATGTTTCTTTCCTTCTTCACTCACTTATGTTTTTTGTTCTGGACTTCGGTTCCCCATCAAGGCTTTGAGAAAACCAGTGGCTCAGAGGCTTGAGATGCCCTGCAGTGTGATAGAGCACTTCCCGGCATCCTCAGGCCTCAGTGCCCATGAGGGCAGAGAAGAAGAGAAAAAGGGGCCTTGGGCTCTCTTAAGCAAGGCAATAGTGTGGCTATAATGGGTATGGGGACAGAAGCTGCCAGACCATACTGACGGATAGTATAAAAAGAAACACGGGCTGAGCATTGGTGGCGCACGCCTTTAACCCCAGCACTCGGGAGGCAGAGGCAGGTGGATTTCTGTGAGTTCAAGGCCAGCCTGGTCTACAGAGTGAGTTCCAGGACAGGCTCCAAAGCTACACAGAGAAACCCTATCTTGAAAAACAAACAAACAAACAAACAACCCCCTCCAAAAACTCCATAGGTTTAATTTAATTTGTTATTCTGTGGCAAGATCTAGAAATACTACTTTAAAATACTTTAGACTGATTCTATCTTTGAGTGTTTCTTTGTGTTTTGAAAGACTTATGTCTTGAAGCCCAGGTTGAACTAGAAGACCCTCTGTAGCCCAGGTTAGCCTTAATAAATCCTCTTGCTTCAGCCTCCTAAGCCCTGGGATTGAAGTTGTGAGCCACCATAGCAGGCCTTTTGAGGCTTGTGACCTGTTTCCAGGGCTGTATGATTTAGTGAGTTAAGGACCCAGGTCCTAAAGCCTGCTAGGGCTCAAATCCCAATTACTGTAATACTTGAAAGCTGGGTAATCCTGGGCAGCATTGCTGAACTGTTCCAACCCTGGGTTTTCTGTAAAAATCGGTGCTATTAGATGAATTAAATGGAAACTGAAACTGTGTGGTGCAGGCACTTAGAAGGGGGGAGGCCTCCAGTGCAGCCAGGAGTCAGTGTCAGACAGTGCCTCATACCCCACCTTGACTGGCATTACCTGGGTGCATCTCCTTTGAGTGTCTGACTGTCATAAACCCGCGACGCTGCCGGCCTGTTGGGGCCCAAGCCTCCACACTAAAGGGAAGTAAGTGATCTATCCCTGGGCCTCACCTCCAGCCCAGCACGTTCCTTTCTGTGTGCTTCCAGCTGCTGCTGCTGCTGCTACTTCAAATGCTGAGAACCATACACAAGAAAGAGCCCAGGCGTAAGGATGCCCATATGGGCACACGGCCCTTCAGATCTGGTGGCTCAGGCTGCTAATTTCTTGGACCCTCAATTCCTTCACTTACAAACCGGGGACTGGTTTACACACACTATGAAAGCTATGCCGGGCGATCAGCACTGTCTTTATTTGACAATTACTGTTTACATGTTAACTCTTTTACAAAAAGCCCCTCTACCTACAGTCAGTAGCAGAGGTGGGCTGGGTAGACTTGGGGAATACTGCTTCGGGGGAATCCCAGAGCCAAAGTGAACTCTAGGGCTAAATGCCAAATGGCTCTAGAAACCTCAGGAATTGCCCTGGTCTGAAGTGGGTACCGTGGGAGAGCAGATGGATTCTTGGGCAGTTTGTGCGGGGTAAAGCTACCGTTAGCTTCACTCTGGGTCGTCTTTCCTGAGGGCCACAGGCAGAGTTCTGATTGCAGGGGAGGTGGACAAACTCCCGGAAAGAGTGCGCAGGCCCCGCCGAGTTCTCCCACGCAGGCGTCCCTTACAGCCTCCCTACACATTCTGCCTCCTCTAGTGAAGAACCAAGCCTGTTGGCCCCTTGTCACTTGGGCATCAGAAGACTTGGATTCCAGCCCAGGAGGGGTTGAGCTAACCTGGGCCTCTCTGAGCTGTTTCCTGGCCTCCCCTGCTGGACAACCGCAGCACCGCAGCCCTTCCCCCGAAGGCCACGCCCCTCGCCCTTAGTGTTACCGCGTTGAGGCCCAGGCCTGTTGCCTGGAGCAAGAATTGTAGCCTCCCAGCGAAGCTGCACCCAAGGCTGGAGGAGCATTCAGGGCTAGTCAGGGATTATCACCAGAATAACATGCAAAGGACACCCCGCCCTACCGCGGATTAGACGCTGTTGATTTTTAAGGGCAAGACCGCTGCTCTTGGCATGGAAGCCAAGGGCGGCATAGTGGAGGCATGGAGCCTGCCCCAAGCAGAAGGCCAGAGGAATCTGTACTTTGTGGGTTTTGGGCCTGAAGACAGTGACAGCACTGGAGCTACCAGCAGCCCTTCATGAGGGTCACGGCTGAGGGGAGTCCAGAGGAGAAAAGACAGTACTTAGGGTGGAGCAGGTTTTCCAACGTACATCCCAAGCCACTCCCTGTCCCGGAGGTGATGTCCCTGATGCCTCACCCTAAAGATCTTTTCTTTTGGGGGGGGGGGCTGAAGAAAGTAAAATAGTCTAATACTGGGCTGGGAGTATACGTGGATGAGCACTGTGTAGTATACTTGAGACCCTAAGTCCCTTCCCCAGCATCCCAGAATGCACTTGGGGTCTCAAGTATGCTACACAGAGGCTGCAGTCCCAGAATGCACTACACACCAAACACAAACAAGGCACCGAGCTGAACACTGTGCAAACCAAGAATATGCAAGAGAGGACACAAAAGGTAAGGCAGTTGGGCATAATGATGCCATCCTGTCACCCAAGCATTAGAGTAGCAGAAGTAGAATGGTCCTAAGTTCAAGACCAGCCTGGGCTATGCAGTGAGATCTTGTCCCAAAGTCGTGGAAAGGACACAGAGGAGGGAGCCGTCTAGAGGCTTAAAGAAGACCAAAGGCCATCACAGACAGGGAGCAGAGTCTGTACTAGGTCGGGAAGGGATGCAGAGGAGAGTGGGCACTTTCCCCCAAGGGCATGGGGCAGACAGGCCTCCAGAAGCAGATGCAGAGGAGAGTGGGCACTTTCCCCCAAGGGCATGGGGCAGACAGGCCTCCAGAAGCAGATGCAGAGGAGAGTGGGCACTTTCCCCCAGGGGCATGGGGCAGACAGGCCTCCAGAAGCAGGCAGGAAGGGTGGAGTTTGTTCAGGGAATGGTGAGTAATGTGTGGCATTACTTCTCAGCATCCTGCTTGGGGCACAGGCAGATCCTTCAAGTCGGTTAGCTATCAGCCTGCCCCATGGGGAAGGGTGGGAAGAGAAGGAGGGGACTGCCAGTGCACCAGCAGGGACCGTGGGCACAGTGTCATCGGGCTGTGTGAACATTTCCTTTCTCGGGAGACTGGTGTATGGCATGGCTTGGGTGTGGACAGAGTCATGGTAGAGAGATGCATTACAAGTCCCTGGGGCTTGTGGAAAAGCTAAGCGATGCCTACACCAAAAGCTGGGCTGAAGCAGGCCCTGAGGCAGAACAGATTATTTAAAATGCCTGTAGGACCACTGTGGGAGTATAATCCTGAATTGGGGGTTGTCAGTATTTCTTGAGGGCCTACCTGCTCTCTCTTTCTCTCTCTCTCTCTCTCTCTCTCTCTCTCTCTCTCTCTCTCTCTCTCTCTCTCTCTCTCTCTGTGTCTGTCTGTCTGTCTGTCTCTCTCTTTCCTCTTTCCCTCCCCTTTGTTGGTGGGGATCAAACCCAGGCCTTATGAATAATAGGCAAGCATTCTATTCTACAGGTGAGCTGCAGCTGTAGCTGCTCATAGCAAACAGGACAGATGTTCCAATCTCACAGCCAAAGAAGCTGAAGTCAACCCTATTCTCCTAGATTCTCTCCTCAGTCCCCTCTGAACGTTTTTTGTTTGTTTCCTTTTCCAGACAGGGTTTCTCTCTGTCCTGGAACTTGCCCTGTAGACCAGGCTGGCTTCCAGAAATCCTCCTGCCTCTGCCTCCTGAGTGCTGCGTCCACAGGTGTGTGCAGCACCATCACCCAGCTTCCTTTTAATATTTTGAACCCAAGGTTTATCTTCATGCCTGTGTCCTTTCTTCCCACAACAGTGCAGGGCTTGGGGAAAGAGCCCTTGAAGACTCAGGAAAGCCTGGAGCAAGTTTCACTGGGCCTGGGGGCTTGACTTCCATTGAGCAGCGCGCGCCCTTACCAGCCTATCCGATTGCCGTCTTTCATTTCACACCACATATTTCATGCTTCTTTGTTCTGTTTCTTTCCCAGGTTGTCCTTGCTTTCCTCCCATCTCAACCTTCCGAGTGCTGAGGTTACAGACATACGCTGCCATGCTTTGCTTGTATGCTTTTCATTGGAACCTAAGTATTTTTTTAGCTTCTGGGACACTACAGGGGTGCGGTTAAACTACAGACTCCAGTACAGGGAGAGGGGGAAGCAAAGCACTGTTGTGTGGTTTGGGGTGAGTTCCTTGGGTTCTCTGCATTTTGCTCACTAGATGGTGACGCTCTCGCTACTTTGCAGAAGTAAGTGAGAACTAAGCTGACTCATGCCCTGTACTTAGTGCCGTGCCAGATGCAGGTATATCCTCCATAACCATGAGCCACATGGTTCCGGGATGTTGAAGCCACACAGCTATGCAGTATGATGTGGCTACGTGGTTCCAGTGTATGTACCACACAGTGGGGCAGGCCCATTACTCTCCCAAGCTGGATTTGGCCCTCCAACACCTACTTAAAACCTGCTAGTAGAACAATTCCCCTGAAGTCATTATTTAGACAGCCATTCTGTCTGGGCTGGACCCACCATTTCCTGGGGTAGGAAATCAGGCTTTTAGAAACCTGGCACTCACCACCGACCCTGCAGGTGTTCCTGGCTAGACTCCTAGGTGGACTGCTATTTTGAGGTCAACTGAAAGGTCATTATTGGTCATGGTTCTTTTGGATCTACTCTGTGTACAGCCCGGGTTTGGGCTGACACATAGAAAGACTGCCCACATGGCTTTTCTCAAAACTGACAGGCATGACTCACCCAAAGGTCACCAGTGCCTGAAGCTGCATAGGGCAGAGTGATTCATTGTCTCTACTCTGGCCTGGCCCCACAGCTGCCTGGCTTCAATTCCTCTCAGCAGATATCCTCAGCCCTGAGACTCTCCACCCAGAGGAGGGGGCCTCCCCATCCTTAGGTGGTTCTGCTAAAAAGAACTCAGCTCCTTGCTTGCACTCTCCGGGTTGGGAGAGCTGGCCTGCTCATGTTTCAGCTTGATAGATCAGGGAAGGGACGCTGGTCTCCACCTTCAGCTCCCTGGGCCTGTCCCTCCTGGCAGTGCCTACTGTGCTGGGCTCTAGGCCTCTGGAGCCTCTTGGTAGAACAGTTACTTATCCAACTTCCATGACACACACTCCCACTGTGAGACAGCATCCCTGTAATCTTGTTTCTGAGAAAAAGCAGAATGAGCTGGTGAACATCATGGTCCCTGATAACCAGTGTGTCAATAAACAATGTGACAACATGTTTACTTTTCTGTTAAAAAAGGCAGTCCTTTCCTGACCACCTTAGTTTTGTAAAGAAGCAAGAATACAGAACCACAAAGATGAAGGGCTGAATAACAGAGCTGACCTGAAGGGAGTCTTGGGAGTTGGGTGGGGCCTGGGAAGAGGGCTAAGGGAATCGTAAGCTGGAATGGGGAAGGTGAGGCGAAGGGAGAAAATTAGGTCTTGGTGTGTTCACCCTCTGCCTACCCACCACAATCAGGTCCTGGAGGTCCTCTGGGCCCCAGAATGGACCTCTGAGTTTACCCCCACTCCCTCTGCCATCCCTCTGTTTTGGCTCACACCAACTGCAGTGGCCTTCAGGTTCCCATGCATCCCTGGCTGGCACGATTCTCTGGGGCTATGCACCTTGAACGGGGCCTCTAGACCCTAGACTCACTGTCCCACTGTTACTGAGTGAAAGTACAGAGCTAAGGAGAGCAGGCCCTGCGTGAGACACCAAGAGATGGGCGTTCCGAGACGGACCTCAGACTAGGAAAGACAGGAACAGCTTGGATTCTGTCTTTACCTCTGGGAGGAAGGGTCTTTCTGCCTCTCCTCCAGGGGCCTGGTTTTCCCTCTGTTCTGCAGATAGGAAACCGAGCACCCACATTCTGGGTAAAACTGAGCCCCAAAGCCAGGAGGCCAGGCTCATGGACCCCCTCCCTGGCAGGGTTGGAGCTGGATGGGAGCCTCCAGTCGGGTCCTGAATGTTGTCCCTTGGCCACGGGAAAGGCTGAGGCAAGTAGAAGCCAGGGATTCTGAGTCCATGAAACATGCATGACTCATGCTGGATGGCTCTGCTCCCTGATCCAGCCCACATTCCCGGGCCTTTGTTCCAACCCGCCTGGGCGCTGACCTTAAAGGGCCAGATCTTCTGAGGCACCACCTCCCTGGTGGAGGTGCTAGAGGGCTTGAGGCTATGAGGACGCTCTACTGCAGGGTTTAGGGGAACAGCCAATCCCATCCTCAAGCCCAGGAGGGCAGGAAGAATGTCTTTTCCTCACTTGCGAAGATCCAAAAAGGGGACCCTCTTCAAAGCAATTTCTTCTAGGGTCTCTCGGACACTAACTCTGACCACTCCTCCCTCCCTGGTCTCCAGGTGCACTGCAGTTCCCACATGCACCCTGACTGGCTTCTTTATATTTCTTTGTTCTGGTTTGGTATCTTGCTGTTTGGCCCGGATGGTCAGAAATTCACAATCCTTCTGCCTCAGCCTCCCATGTGTTGACATTAAGGCAATACCACCAGGATCAGCTAGCACTGGTTTTCTTTTTGTGTTGTTCTTTTGGTTTTTGTTGTTGTTTGGTTGGTTTTTTGAGATAGGGTTTCTCTATATTGTTTTGGAGGCTGTCCTGGAACTTGCTCTGTAGACCAGGCTGGCCTCGAACTCACAGAGACCCTCCTGTCTGCCTCCTGAGTGCTGGGATTAAAGGCCTGGGCCACCACCGCCTGGCAGCACTGGTTTTCTTTAGCTGTCCCTTGACAGTTGTATTGTCTTCAGGCTCGGGTCCCCAGGTTTCTCAACAATCCCGGCCTATCACATGGTGACAGGCCCTTTCTTGGGGCTGAAATATGACCCTGACACCCAGTACCCAAGCAGCTTCTTTGAACCTTGCATGCCACCCTGTGGACATGGGAGAGCTGGCCTTGGGGAAAGGAGTAAAGTGAAATGAAAGTAAGAGACCTGAATTCAGAGAGGCCTACACCTCCCACATCCTCAGTAAAACAGGCTCTTAAAGAGACAGCAACAAAAGGCAGTGAGGCTGGAGGTGGGTGTCAGAATGCATGATGTTCACCTGTGAAGCCCTGGTAATACACTCAGGAGCACCAGGAAGTGGGGGGGGGGGAAGACTGAGAAATTACAACACTTTTGCAGAGATTTGGAAAGATCTGTTTCCCGGGTACCAACCCATTCCAGTACTCCTTTATCCCCCTAGCCCCACTACAGTCAATGCTCAAACAC